GCAGGGCCGAGGGCACCGCGGAGCCCAAGCACGATGCCCCGGCCAAGAAGGCGAAGAGGCCAAAGCCAGAAACTCAGGGAATCAAAGCCAAGCGGAAGCCCGGCGCTTCGTCCAAGCCGCCCGCCGCCGGGGAGGCCGAGGGCGCCGCGGGGTCCCCCAGCCAGAAGCCGCACGTGTGCGAGCACTGCAGCGCGGCGTTCCGGAGCTCCTACCACCTGCGCCGGCACGTGCTCATCCACACGGGCGAGAGGCCTTTCCAGTGCAGCCAGTGCAGCATGGGCTTCATCCAGAAGTACCTGCTGCAGAGGCACGAGAAGATCCACAGCAGGGAAAAGCCCTTTGGGTGCGACCAGTGCAGCATGAAGTTCATCCAGAAGTACCACATGGAGAGACACAAGAGGACGCATAGCGGAGAAAAGCCATACAAATGCGACACTTGTCAGCAGTATTTTTCGAGGACTGATAGGCTCTTGAAGCACAGAAGAACGTGTGGTGAAGCCATAGGCAAGGCAGGTGCCGGAGGGGAAGCTGGAGCCTCAAACCACAGCATGGGTAGCCTGGCTGCATTGTCTCAGGGAAATACGAGTTCCTCAAGGAGAAAAAGCAAAACAAAAAGTGTATCTGCTGAAAGCAAAGGAAGCAAGTGTAGTAGTAAGGTATCGGAGCCCCCAGCTACAAGTAATGTGGCCATGCCAAATTATGCAGTTGATATTCCTATTGTGTCTTCCAGCAGCGGTCTCGTTGGCACGGGCATAGAAGAGCTTCAGAAAAAGGTGCCAAAGCTGGTCTTTAAAAAAGGAAGCCGAAAACACGCAGACAAAAACTACCTTAATTTTGTATCACCACTGCCAGATATTCTGGGGCAAAAACCGTTGTCCGGGAAGCAGAGTGGCTCTCTAGGCCTAGGGACCAATACCGGTGTGGAAAGTATTGGCCTTCTCCAAAGTACAGGTGGGAAACCAGGTCAGATCAGTAGCAATTACGATGATGCCATGCAGTTTTCCAAGAAAAGAAGATACTTGCAAACTGCGAGCGGTAACAGTGCCTTTTCACTTAATGTTGGACACATGACCTCCCAGCAGTCCGTCATCCAGTCTGCAGGTGTTAGTGTTATGGATAACGAAGCTCCGTTATCCCTCATTGATTCAGCATCTTTAAATACCGAAATCAAGTCTTGCCATGACAAGTCTGGTATTCCTGATGAAGTCTTGCAGAGCCTTTTGGACCAGTACTCTCACAAATCAGAAGGCCAGAAGGAAGACCCTTTCAGCATAACTGAGCAACGTGTGGACTTGCACACCTCAGGAGAACATTCAGACATGGTTCAGGAAGAAAACCTGAGCCCCAACTCGCAAACAGTTTCAAATGATAAGGCAAGCATGTTACAAGAATACTCCAAATACCTCCAACAAGCTTTTGAAAGAACAACCAATAGCACTGGTTTTGCTTTTGGACCCAGTTTCCAGTTTGTTAGCTTGTCCTCAACCCTCCATAACCACACTCTGTTTCAAGACAAACAGATATACACTACATCTCCACTCGAGTGTGGCTTCAGCCAGTCCGTTACCTCAGTGTTGCCAACTGCATTGCCAAAACCTCCATTTGGGATGTTGCTTGGGTCTCAGCCAGGCTTTTATTTATCTGCTTTGGAGGCTACGCATCAGCAGTTGACTCCTTCTCAAGAGCTAGATGATCTCATTGATCCGCAGAAAAACTTGGAGACTTCATCCAGCTACCAGTCTACATCTCAGAAACTGACTGGCCAGAAGGAGCAGAAAAACTTAGAGTCCTCAACGAGCTTTCAGATTCCGTCTCAGGACTTAGCTAGCCAGATTGATCCTCAGAAGGACATCGAGCCTAGAGGAACCTACCAGATCGAGAACTTTGCACAGGCGTTTGGTTCTCAGTTCAAGTCGGGCAGCAGGGTGCCAATGACTTTTATCACTAACTCTAATGGAGAAGTGGACCATAGAGTAAGGACTTCAGTGTCAGATTTCTCAGGGTATACAAATATGATGTCTGATGTAAGTGAGCCATGTAGTACACGAGTAAAAACCCCAACCAGCCAGAGTTACAGGTAAGGTCCCAACTGTGACTGGACTGTGGGGTCTTTTTTTAATGTAATTTTGTTTTACTTTGACAACACTGCCATTGGAATGTTTCTACACGGTCCTATCGAGAATAATGTAACATGCCCTTTCAATGCAACTTTTCATATTTAGTTTATTTTGTTAGTGTGATTTTTTAGATCTGTTTATTATGGTTTTTAATCAAAAATCAATAGAATAAAATAGTTTTTTTGTTCAAGTGACTTTGTTTAGCAATCAAATTTACATATAGAGATTGTCAGGGAATAGCCCAAATGTTTAAAATGCAAAAAAAAAAAAAAAAAAAAATTAACTTTGTTCCTAGGATTAAGGTTTATTCTAATTGCTTTACTCTCAGGAAAGTGTAATGAAACATGGGATTTCTATGCACCACTAGTGTATTGGAACTTCCAATCTACAGATAGTGACAAATATATTTCAGCTTTTTTGAGGAAGGGATCTATGACATTTCAATTTGCTGTCTTTTATATCTGGGCTGATCTGAAAGACTTTTGCTACCTAAATCTTGTTGCTTTTAAAGTACCCATGTTCTTCCAGGTGATGCTCATTCCAGACAGGTGGAGCAGAGATTCATGGATCCATAGTAAGAGCCCAGACTGGTAGCTTTAATAGAAACAATAATGTCCCCAGAACTCCTGTGTAAGACTGTAATTCCATAAAGAGATTCTGTTGACACAAACCATGAGAACAAAACGTGTACGTCTGGTTCATGTCACTAGAACCCCAGCTTGAAACTACAGTCCTAGCCCCTACACGCTCTTGGGATACATTATTTATTATACATGGTTCAGAAGACATCAGTCTCTTACTCTTCCCCTTTTCCACATTCTCTTAGTGTATAAGGTCCCCTTTCTTTTGCTGTCCCCGCTGTTCCTCTCCTTGCTTTTTTCCCCTTAATTAACACCTTTGCTTCCCTTCTCCCTCTGTCACCCCAATGTAACAGCTAGAATTTATAACAATTTACATTCCAGAAAGCACGTACCTTTCTACTCGCTTTCTGATGTCCTAAGGCATCATCAGATAATGAACGATGTAAACACCCGCCTATTTTCGAATTCTGTCAGGGTTTCCATGTACGATAAGAAATAATATACTCCCAATTGTACATACTGAGGCCTCGGTCCTGCATCGGGACGAGCCACCCCGTGCCCAGCAGCGTGCTGGAGATTCCCTGGAGCTCCTTCCAGAGGTAGGAGTTGGCAGCAATGCCTTGTCGCAGGCGTAGGGCCCAAGGCTGCAATTCCATCCAAGGCTTCTGCTCCTAAAAGAGAACCCGAGTGGCTTGTTCATATCAACAGAACTTTTCTTTGGAATTATTGCCTTACTTTATGTATATTTTGTGGTACATTATTTATTATATGTGAATCCTGATTAATGCCTGTGGAGCCATGGAAACCTGCTAGAAATACTAGTGGCCATTCAAAGCTGCTGAAAGGCAGTGGCACTGCTCTAAACCACTTTTTGCAAATGTATTTTTTGATTAGTTTTTTTAATGTAATTTTGGTGATGTTTATGCTGATGTTTTTTTATGTACTCTTGGTGATGTTTCAGTCTTATGTACTTTCCTGGTGTCAGGAAAGTACCAGTGGTTGTTTGCAGTCTTATTGTGTAATCAGCCTATTACAGGCTTCCATGTATAATAAAGTTATTAACATTGTGCAAGTGTAAAACACTTCTGTTATGAAAGTGGTGTTCTGAAAACTATGAATTATTAAAGGAATTGTTACAAAAATCCTCGGTAATTTCTCCCATTGTCCCTCACCACTAAAAATTCATACCCAAGCCCATTGTAACCTCCTTTACCAGGTGAACTTTCATTTTCTACTAATCTAGATTTTGTTCTCATAGAATCCATGTAACTCCATTAACTTTTTCTTTATACTTGATTATGTATTTCACCCTATTTCAGTTGAAATAAGTGAACAACGATTATTCTCTGAACACAGAATCCAGCCTGTTATCAGGGACTGGAATAGTCCATGACCACTGTGTTGACTTTTTTGAGATCTTTTGTTTTTCACAGGTTATAGTTTACTTTCTTTATATTATGTGTAGTAGAAGTTGCATATGTATTGTTCTGGCTGTTTGCTTTAACTTAATACTAATAAAACCCATTATTCACGAAATCATAAAGATATCACTTCTCTTATCCAGTCCCACTTTGAGAACCTATTAAGAAAATATTATGAGATTGAATTTTGAAAAGTAGTGGTATGACTTACTGGCATGCTTTCAGCTTGTTTTCTTCCAATTTTTTGGGGTCTGAAAAATTAAATTCACTGTTTAAGAAATAATGGGGCTAGCTCATACCTTTGGCTTCTAAGGAAAAAAAGTAACCAGCCTCCTTCAGTCAAACTGTTTTTAAAACCTCAGCTTTTTAAACCTGTGTCTTTTTATATGGTTTTGGATAAAAAGTATATAAATTTTCATATTGTTAACTTCAAAAACATTCTGTAACTGTTGAAAATCCAGAATGGCACGTATATAACAAAATTTTGTTCAAAGTAAAGATTTTAGAAAGTCATCTTATCTGTTTTTGTTTTTTGACCTAACTTGCATTGTAAATATAGTATTCAGCCAAACCTCTATTGAAAAACATGTTTAGGTAATGTGAGCATATGACAGGGTTCGCTTAATCTGTTTTGTTCTTTTTCTGAAAAACCAAATGTTAAAGGAAGAAAGATGGTAATTTGAATCAGGTAATGGCACGGACAAGGGAAAAATCGTTGGCATATGGAAAAACACTGTGGTGATAAGTAGGGATGAAAACCCACCAAGGTAAATATGCAATATACATGTTCGATGTTCGGAAAATTGCAAGGAATTGTTTTGGATGTTGAAGGACAAATTCTTTCAAATTCACATGTGCTGTATTCAAAAATGTTTCCAAACAGAATACGACTAGATTTCTTCCTAATTTAATGTTTTTCTTCAGTTAATGGAGCTTAAGAATAATGGTATGGTGAAATGTGTAAAAAGCAGGATATGACTTTATCTGCCAGATACTGGAAAGAACTCCATGTATATTGAGTAATAACCCACTTGAAAGGCTTAGGGGTGTGACAGTGAGAGGAGGGAAGTGCAAAGCAAAATGGATCTTGCTTATTTATTTATTGATTGATTTTTAAGAATTGTAGGAAGGAGAATCACGACCACTTTGCTACCACTAACGTGTGGAGCGTGAAGGAGAAAGGCTCTCCGTGGCAATAGGGAACGCTATGTACAGTGCTGTGCTGCTTTTTACTGCGGGAGCTCATGCAACACGTTTTGCTCCGGCGCTGCAGCCCCTGGACGTGCACGTCCCACCTGCCTGCAGGCGATGGAGGGGGCATCGCTGTCCTTTGGAGCAGTTCCTGAGCTGGGCAAACTGGACACCAAACCAGAGGTAGTTGTGGAAAGGGAATGGGAAAAAAAACAAAGTGAAAAGATGGTGGTGCGAAGGGACGTCAAATTTTTCGGGTATATGAGCTGATGATAGGAAGAAAAGTTGCTTGGTATCCCATTGAAACCTTACGAAGATACACATGAGAAGGTGTCCCCACACACACCCCTGACTTCGACAGCTTTTAACCATTTTCGTTGGAATTTTCCAGACTTCGTCTGTTGCAGATGCCTCTGTTTTTTTTTCTCTCAGGTAAACTTCTGCAAAAATTGCTCAGATATTTGCTTAAATAAGATTAAGGAGAAAAAATGTCATGTTCTGCTGGCCTTTTCATACCTTGCTTCTTTGAAAACCAAGTGATTGATTTTTGGAAAACCAGCAGTATCTTATGGTGAAGTTAGGAGACTTGTTGTAGTTGGGACTAGGTTGATGTGTGTCTGTGGTTGCATCATTGGTTCTTCTTGAAAATCTGATGCTTTTAGTCCAGAGTGTTTGAAAATGCATTTGCATCCTGCGACTTGAGTGTTGGCTGGCTGTACCTCCTAAAGGTGACCCATGCCGGATGACAGACAGCTGGTGCAGGTGGTCACTGTGTTAGTTCAAATGGCAGCTGCTTTTAGGTGACCCCCATGGGTGTTGCATGTTTTTGCAGAAGAGACTTTGCGCTTTGACTTCTATAAATTGGAAAGTCCTCACTTTTTGTGTTCTTCTAACTAGACGTTTGTGCAAGATGTTTATTTATGCAAGCTCTTAAAATATTGCATGGTGTTTTGTAGAGCATTTCCTTGTGCTTCATTTGGAGCCCAGAATATGCACTGTTTACTGAACAAGCAAATATGAAGCATAGGTATGCTTTGTTATTCATGTTCACAACCTTTAGCTCATCCCCCTTTTTTATTTGTAGTTAAAACCCAGATTTGTTTCATCATTGTTTCCTCAACAAAGGCAGTAGCACCTAGTTATGTCTGGCATAAAAGACTAATTAGTATCCTGATGCCGGTATGTTTTTTAGTGACACTAATGCTAAAATCTTAGGCTGCTCTTGGATGCTGAGTTCAGTTTGCCAGTGACATGGAGAGATAGGAAGTAGGTGGTGGAATTCCCTCCCTTTGACATTGATTGGAGCTGAGTTCCTGGTGTAAAACCCCTGCTGTTTCCTGCTGTGTGCCTGGGCAAAAGAAACCGAAGAGCAGTTTCCAGCTTAGGAAATGTGGAATAGCTGAACAGCTTGAGTCACACAGAAGCTTTGGGACGAGTCATAGTGGGAAATGAATTCCCCAAAGGTGACATTCAGCTAGTTTGCCCTTTCCCTCTGCTGGGCACTGTAAATGTGGCATCTGCACCAAGCGAAGCCCGGCTCGAGCAGACGTTGAGTCCCTGCTCGTTCTGAGTGTTGTCATCCTATTCGCTGCAGACGCGGAGAGCGAGGCAGCGTTGTTTGGAAAAAACAGTATGTCCTCGTGTGATCAGGCTGTCGTAACGCCCGTACGGGGTGGGATGGATTGGGGATTAAAAGGAAGATTTAGTTCAGAGTGAACGTTAATGCTTAACTTATAATGTTATAGTTAAAATAATGCTTTTTTTTTTTTTTTGTGAATAGTGTATTACTAAATTTTTGGTTCTCCATTTTTAATTTAAAATCAAAGGCTGTCCTAAATAATGTAACACTAGAAAGCCACCTGTGTACTTAACTTGGTCATAAATTTGCTAAAGTGTTATCTAGACAGATTTAGAATGAAGAAATAAATTGTGTCTCTGATTATTTTAATAGACTCTGTCTTTCATTAAAATATATCTTAAAATACCTTGATTATTTTTAATCCCTCAGATTCCTCTTAGAGTGTGTTTCTTGGCTTGCTTGTGCAAGAACTGTGTTTGGGATGTGTGGCTGGAAATTTTATTGGTGGTGATATAGATGCTTTATTCTTCTCAAAACCTCTGAACATTTTTTTCTCAGGGAAACACATCTCAAAGTGCTCTCGGGGTCTGAGGTGAGTGGAAATGCAAACAAACCAGGACCATTATTGAAGATTAGAAATTACAAAGAAATCCATGTGCAACTCCTTGAGAGACAAAGTTATGACTCAATTTACTTTGCTGTAATGAGAAAATGCCTAGGAGTGTAATAAAATATCTTGGGTATTCTACTGAGGTGCCTTAAAGCAGGACATGCCACATATGCCTGAATCCTCCTGCCTGTTAAACAGAAACACATCTAGGAGGAAAGGTGGATTAATCCAGGAGGAAGTTCTGAGGCTGAGCAGGAATCACGTGTGCATTTGAAGAGGACAACGACATGGTGTAAGGTGATTATCTCCTTGGAATTTGGCCAGGTTGATAATTTACTTGTAGAAGTTCATGGCCTCGTGGCTTCAGTGGCTATAGACTGTCTTGGAAGGAGAAAACGTAGCCCTCCTCACTGAGCCGGACTATGGCCAGAACTGGTTTGGAAATGTGACACGCACTGACATGGCGA